TAAAGGGGGAAGCCAGATTCATTTAGCAACTGTGTTACTAAGTTTAGAACTGCAGTGATTCACTGAACAACTGTGGCAAGAAAGGTCGTAAAATGGGGCAAAAGTCACAGAACTGTCTCACTTAACAACAGAAATTTCAGGCTCAATTGTGGTCATAAGTTGAGGACTTCCTGTATGTCTGTAATTGTCACAGAGGGTGTCAGGGAAATAAGTTGAAATGCTCAGTATGTTTGTTTTTTGTGCTTATTCCTCACCAGCCTCCCTCATTCTACTGGTTCTTCAGATGTATGGCCTCTGGGAGATGAAATCCATATATAAAGAAAAACTTGCATTATTATTATCCTTCATACTGTGACATTTGCATAAGTAAATTTCAACCATAGGAATTGAGTTCAGTCGAAGATGAAAAAAAGACATAAGGCTGAACTGGAGTTTAGAACCTGTTTTTTTCCACCTTCATGATTCTGTTGCAACTTTTTTTTTTTAATGACCAAGGTTTTTCACTTTTAATCACCTCTTTTATCTCCATTAGAGACGTAAAGTACCAAGCTGTCAAATGTAAGGGCAACAGCTCTATCCCATTATCAAAACATGTAAACAACAATATATTTTTCTCCTTTTATAGAGCTCTTAAGAGCAAGTTGATAAACATGAAGGCAGCTTTCTCTGTAAATGTCTTTCCATAGATTTAATCAGCATTCTTTCAGATTCAATACTTTGAGCCTCCTTGAGCCTTTCCTTATTTCTGAATTTAAGTGCTCCCATCCATCCTTGAGCTGGCAGCAAACTATACTAATATATAGTTGTCCCCTCTGCCCGCTCTGTTCCCAGCCACTGGTAATTATCTGACTTCTCTCCAGAATACAGGTAGTCGTCAACTTACAACAATTCATTTAGTGACCATTCGAAATAACAATGGCTCTGAAAAAAGTGACTTATGACAGTTTTTCACACTTATGACCATTGCAGCATCCCCCCCATGATCACATGATCAAACTTCATGTGCTTGGAAACTGACTCATATGTATGACAGTTGCAGTGTCCCAGGGTCATGTGATCAGCCTTTGCAAACTTCTGACAAGCAAAGTCAATGGGGAAGCCAGATTCACTTAACAACCGTCTGACTAACTTATCAACTTCAGTAATTCATTGAACAACTATACCAAGACAGGTCATAAAATGAGGCAAAAGCCACTTAACAACTGCCTCTCTAAGCAATAGAAATTTTGGACTCAATTTTGGTCACAAGTCGAGGACTACCTTTATAGGCAGTGGTGGGTTGCCAATTTTTTTACTATTGGTTTGTGTGCGTGTGTGATGCTTCTGCACATGTGTCCAGGCGAGTGGGTGGAGCATCCGCCCCCGCTACTACTGGTTCACCCGATCTGGGCTTAACCGGGAGCAACCCACTTCTGTTTATAGGGTTATAAAACTTAACACAATATTATGCAAAATTGACAACTTTAAAATGTTGTGGACTTCAACTCGCAGAATTCCCCAGTCAACAAAAAATACTGACCTAATAGATTTAGTAATATTCATCTTGGACAATGTTGGAATAAGTGGGAAGCAATTTTGCATCACATCAACTAAGATGTCTTATGTCTGAGCTGGAGTTGAGATGAAGTCAGCATAACGGCGACAGAACAGAAGTTGTTACCAAGGCAATCTTGTGCCAGGTTTAGATGCAAACAGGAAAGAAGGGTTTTTTAAAAAACACGTAATGGTCATCCTTGCCATGAGGATTGCTCAAGATAGATAAAGTTGCAATTCTAATTCTGCATCTTGTAGAGAAGTAGGGAATTTGGAAAAAAGGGGCCAATGATGAAAAGATACTGTATTTCAATGAGAATTGGAAGTGTCTTTCCCATCGAAGGGTGGGATTCAGCTGGTTTGGACAGGTTCAAATCAACCGGATGCTAATTTTGCTGAACTGGTAGTTGGAAGAACTGGCTGGCCCTGCCCACTCTTCCACTCCCCTCCCAGGAGTCTCCATGTGGCCTGTTCATTATGCCAGGTAAGTGCAGAGCCCGCAAGGAGGCTCTGGGAGAGTGAAAATCGGGCCTCCCGGAAGTTCTGGAAATCCAGAAACAGGCTTGTTTCCAGCCTCCAGAGGGCCTCAGGAGTCCGGGGGAGGATGTTTTTGCCCTCCCAGAGCCTCAAGAAAAGCCTCCAGAATTTGGGGAGGGCAAAAAACTTGCCTCCTGGAAGTTCCAGAAGTCAGGAAACAGGCCTGTTTCCGGCCTCCGGAGAGTCTCCGGAGTCCAGGTGAGGCGGTTTCCACCCTCCCGGAGGCTCGAGGAAAGCCTCTGGAGCATGGGGAGGGCAAAAACGCCCTCCTGCTGTGGTACAGATGGCTGAATAGGCCACGGTCCCATGGCCAGCAACCAGGCAGAGAACCGGTTGCTGAAATTTTTCAATCCCACCTCTGGCCCTATCTCTAAGTATCCCTATACTCTGGATTAATTCCATAGTATAAGCATTTTCCTTGCAAGCTGATAGTGTTGTGAATGACTTCCTAATTTCCCAAGCAGTACTACATGGGTTTTATGCCCCCTGGATGAGATAGCACTGAAGCATGACCCGTCAAAACCGCGGAGGACAAAATCGCGCTCGACGAAAGCGCGCATGTGATGTCATCACAGCGCGACGAAAAAAATTAAAAATT